TGCAATTGTGTGAACCCATGCCGACTAGGCTGGTTGTGGCCCCATTTCCCCCTGTTTGCCCTTTGAAAAACTTTAAAACCCACACAATATTTTAATGCAAGTCACATAACAGAGGGCCGCCGCCCCCTTCTCTTTTTCACCCTTTGTTTTTTTTCTTTCTTTTTTCCTTTTTTTTTGGGAAAAATATGTCTGGACCCCAAAAGCAAAAACTTCATGTGTTGCAGTCCCTTCTAGTTTTTCCCATATGGTTCAGTCCCTTGAAGTGTGACATTTTGTGCTACAGTCTCTTTTTAGCAATTATTACATGTCAGCTAAGCTTAAATCCCCAAAATATCCTTATCCCCTCCCCTCGGCCACCTCGATCTCATCGATTCCCTTCTCTTAAATAATTTAGAAGAAAAAAAAATATCCACTACAATTTATCTACCTCATCAAGAAGCTCAGTCTGTCCCTTTCCTTCTTCAACTGTAGCTAAAGCCTTCTCATGCGAACCATGTTGAAGAAGTCAAGAAATATGATCTTCAACATCTCTAGAGAGAACAAATATGTTAAGATTTTTATCAAACCAAATATGTAGTTCTACAAGTTCCCTAGTCTGTGGACTATAACACAGTTAGAACTAACACGCCAAAGGGGGGGGGTCTAAATCTTCACCTTTTAATTGAATCCGCACTCATTTTCGTGAAATTCTGGTTCTTGTATGCATTGGCTATTAATGTATAAAAAAGCATGAGAATTTATGAAGCGATCAAGGATGTGGAAGTGAACGAGAAGGCGTTAAATCTAGAACTAACATGCTGCGTGTTAGAATTATAGCGAAAACAGCATTGTAAACATACCTAAAAAATCAGAACTAACATCAGAGCTTACAGAACTAACATCAGAGGTCACAAAACTAATATCATAGCTTGAAGAACTAAAATCATTTTACACACAGATGTAGTTCGAATCTGAAAAACTCAAAAGATCAAAGTTGTAGGTCTCTTCAACAGCTTTTCAACGTATCTCAAATCACCTCATTCCAAGATCGTATGAGAAAGTTATAACCAAAATACAGATCAAATGAATAATTTGAATCCGTAATTTGAATATATCATGATAAATGATAATAACTATGTAATATGATTATAAATAACATTTATCGATATTTGAGTATGCTAAGAATTAATTTGGGATCAATTTAATATATATATATATATATATATATATAATATATTATATATATATATATATATATATATATATATATATATATATATATATATATATATACTATATATAAGATATATATATATATATATATATAAATATATATATAATTATATATTGAGAATATGTGTGCCTTACTTGCGGCCAATGATCCCTTGGTAGTGATGTGGACACATTTGTCCATACATCACACCTTGAGTTGGTTGACGGCTCCATCTTCAAGGTGTGATGTTATGGACCAGATAGTGTCCACATCGACTACCAAGCATCCTTCGGTACAAGATATACTCATTTCCTCTCTCTCTCTCTCTCTCTATATATATATATATATATATATATATATATATATATTAATATATATATATATATTTATATATATATATATATATATATATATATATATATATATATGTGTATGCTTTAGGTGGCGTACCAAAGCCACAAAAAGTTGGGCTTTGGTAGTGAGGTTGTCAAATCCCCCTCCACTCAATTCCAAATATGGGAAACAATTACATGGTACGTGAGTGGATGGCCGGATGTGCACACATCGACTACCAAGCTACAAAATTTGTGTTTCGGCTACCAAGCATACCCATATTTTCATATATAAATATATTATATATATATATATATATATATATATATATATATATATGCCTGAAGCTGGAAAAACTTGAAAGACCAAAGTTTTAGGTCTCTTCAACAGCTTTCCAACGCATCTCAAATCACCTCATTCCGAGATCGGACGGAGAAATTACAGCGAAAATAACATTGTAAGCATAATATGGGAGCTCACAGAACTAACACCATAGCTCACAGAACTAACATGGGAACTCACATAACTAACATCATAGCTCACATAACTAAAATTATTTTACACACAGATATGGTTCGAATCTAAAAAAAAAATCAAAAGACCAAAGTTGTAGATCTCTTCAACAGCTTTTCAACGCATCTTAAATCAATTCATTCTGAGATCGGATGAGAATGTTATAACCAAAATACAGATCATATGAATGATTTGAATCCGAAATTTGAATATATCATGATAAATGATAATAAATATGTGAGGTAAATTTGAATATATCATGATAAATGATAATAACCATGTGAAATGGTTATAAATAACATTTATCGATGTTTGGGTATGCTAGGAATTGATTTGGGATCAATTTAATATATATATGTGCCTGAATCTGGAAAAACTCAAAAGACCAAAGTTGTAGGTCTCTTCAACAGCTTTCTAACGCATCTCAAATCACCTCATTCCTAAATCGAACAGAGAAATTACAGTGAAAACAACATTGTAAACATAATATGGGAGCTCACAGAACTAACATGTGAGCTCACAGAACTAACATCATAGCATACAGAACTAATATGGGAGCTCACAGAACTAACATCATAGCTCACAGAACTAAAATTATTTTACACACAGATGTAGTTCGAATCTGAAAAAACTCAAAAGATCAAAGTTGTAGGTCTCTTCAACAGTTTTTCAACTCATCTCAAATCACCTCATTTCGAGATCGTATAAGAAAGTTATAACCAAAATACTGATCATATGAATAATTTGAATCCATAATTTGAATATATCATGATAAATGATAATGAATATGTGAGGTAAATTTGAATATATCATGATAAATGATAATAACTATGTGATATGGTTATAAACAACATTTATTGATATTTGAGTATGCTAAGAATTAATTTGGGATCAATTCAATATATATATATATATATATATATATAAACTGAATCTGGAAAAACTCAAAATACCAAAGCTGTAGGTCTCTTCAACAGATTTCTAACGTATCTTAAATCACCTCATTCCGAGATCGGACGGAGAAATTACAGCGACAACATTGTAAACATATATAGGAAAACATCAAAACTAACATCAGAGTTCACAGAACTAACATGGGAGCTCACAGAAATAACATCATAGCTCACAGAACTAAAATTATTTTACACATAAATATAGTTCAAATATGAAAAAACTCAAAAGACCAAAGTTATAGGTCTCTTCAACAACTTTCCAACGCATCTCAAATCACCTCATTCCGAGGTTGGATGAGAAAGTTATAACCAAAATACAAATCATATGAATAATTACAGAGGTTCTAATAGGTATCAAAAACTACAACTGTTTGATTCAATTACAGAGGTTCTTTTACTCCTTAGACAATGGTATGAGCAAAAAAATAAACAAACGCAATAATCTCCCTTATCATCAATAGTTGACTTTCTCTTCCTCCAGAAAAAAACAGTTAACCATTCAAAACGAAGCTGAAGAAGCCTTCAACTCCTCTAACATCTTCTTCAGTGTTGGTTGATTCAATGCCACATTTCCAAATTCAATGCTCGAGTATTTCTTGTACACTACTCCTAATTTACTCTCAGGTGCAGATGAGTGAGACTTAAGCAAAATTTGAGAGCAATCCCTACACAATGCAGCAAATTGTATTAAGAAAAATTTACAGGACATAATTTGGACTTATACAAGTTGTTAAGAAAAATTTGCAGGACATAATTTGGACTCATAGAGTATTGTATCAGACCCAACTTAGCAAAAATTACAACATCCTCGATCATAGAGTTCTGTATCAGACCCAACACGGTGTGTTAGTTCTAACACACCGCGTGTTAGTTCTAGTTTTAACGCCTTCTCGCTCACTTCCACATCCTCGAGACGTAGTCGAGGGCGAGGCGGGGAGCAGTGGTGAGCTACGGCGACGAGGTTGGGCGGAGGAGAGGAGGGGAGACGGCGGCGAACCTGAGGGGAGACTTGGGGGCCTGGGCGGCGACGGTGAGGAGGGCGAGGGCGAGGACGACGAGCTTGAGAAAGCCCTTGGTTTTAGAGAGAGATAGGAGAGAGAGAGAGGAGATGAGAGAGAGAGAGAGAGAGAGAGAGAGGATATGAGTGCCGGGTCTGAGGAATTGAGGGGAGGGGATAAAGATATTTTGGAGATTTAAGCTTAGCTGGCATGTAATAATTGTTAAAAAGGGACTGCAGCACAAAATGTCACACTTCAATAGGTTGAACCACATGGGGAAAACTAGGAGGGGCTGTAGCAGATGAAGTTTCTGCTTTTGAGGCCCAAACACATTTTTTCCTTTTCTTTTTCTTTTTCTTTTTTAAAATTTTGTGAGCGTATGACTAAATGGGCAAATGAGCTTTACAGAAAGAGGGGGGACAAGAGTTGGTGACACAAAAAAGAACCCATATCTTTGCTTTCTTTGAATTGATTTATTTGGTTTCAAGCATCTTCCACACATCTCCATGGATCTGCTGATTCAAAGCATGATGAAGATGGGTGTGGCGAAGTCCACAGGTTCAAAGTTTTCTTTTTTGAGTTCCCACTCGCTTTGCTAATTGCTTTACAGGCAGAGAGTCTGATAACAGATCATGCGGCTGAAAGATGACAAGGGTTAATCCTGATAAGATTTTTCTTCACACAACTTTTTAAGGTAGAAACAGAAAAATACTTGCTGGGTTGTCAAAAAGATACAGTTTTGGCAATTGAAAACCTTAATAAAGATGATGCATACAAGTCAAATTGAAAGTGAAAACATAATAGTTATCGCTAAGATTGAATAAACATATTTCATTGACAGAATAAGCACCATACACATAAGCTTATTGATTTTGACCAAAACCACCCTTTTCCATTTAGCATGTCACAACGAAAAAAAAAGTAAGGTATTTATCCTGATAATTCCATATAGCCTATTTGGGATGAAGTTCATCCCACATAGGGAAAGCAGAAACATCATGCTCAAGGTCAGGACACAAACAAAACGATATTATCTCACCCACAACACCAAAGTTTCACCATACAACTTTCGATGGTAAAATCACCTGGCGAATGAAATGTTATTCAGCACAAGCATCTGATCTCTACCGTAGACTGGTATGCATCATATTTGTAGGTAATAATGTAGATAATTGATAACAAGTGACGATATGCGTTTGTTATGAGATAAACACACAACACCACTCATTTACAAAGGCCAGAACTTGATAGAAATAACAGGAAGCTGCACCAACCTCCCACAATTTAGGTAACAGCAGCAATGAATTTACACATTTAAACCATTAAAAACTTCCACTTCACAAATTCTGCACTTGCAAGGAGTCCACATCAACCGATTCCCTATTGGAGTATTTGAAGAATTAAGTACCTGCCAAATACATTTTTAACGTAAGATAACGAGTCTTGTTCAAATAATGTTCACAACGGTTACAGTAGAGATACAATAAGTCCATAACGAAAATCAAACGCTGAGCAAACCGGTCAAACTCACGGACCTGGCATCTTAGAATAATAAAAATATGCCTGGAATGTAAGAGCTTCTGAGTATCAAAAAGTATTTACTATAACTTTCATGTCCAACTATGCGCTCACAGGAATCATGTCAGTTAAAATAACATAAACCTATCCACAAACAAACGGGATCGAAAGAAAAAAAATCTCTAACAAGCTCAAGCTCGACCTTCAGAAATATTTAGATTTTTATTGGAGAATGTACAGATAAATCATACTCCCTTTAAAAGCACGAGTTCGAAAAATATTTTTTAGACAAATATACCGCTTTATAGTTTGAACTACCTTATCTATAATCAAATTCTAATTTTCAATGGTCAATATTACCCTTCATTATTTTGAATATTTTATTTATATCTTAATCTATCATAATCATAATCATATCTTATCCTAATCCTATGTGAACCATGTTTAGCTTAACAATTTAAAAAAACTAATATTAATAAAATATATAAAACATAAAAATGATATTAGTTTGTTAAGATAAAGAAATTACAAGTAGATAACATATTATAATACATGAAGTATTAAAAAAACCATAAAAAGTTTTAAAATTGCAGAAAAGACCCTAAAAAGTTTAAAATTATAAAAATCATCCCAATGTCTCAAAACTTAAAATAAAAAACATGAAATTAAAAAATTAACATCAGTTTACAAAGAATTTAAAATTTACAGTTAACATCTCAATGTCTCAAAAATTATAGAAACACCCTCAAAAGTTTAAATTACAGACAAGCACATTAAAATTCTAAAATTTTAAAACTTACAAACAACACAGATGAATTCAACAGATTACCATGATACACCTAAAATTTTTGACATTTAAATTTAAATTTTTTAATTAACACCCTTAATATCTCAAAAATTATAGAAACACCTTTAAAAGTTTAAATTATAAAAAGCCACCTTAAAATTCTAAAATTTGTAAATAACATAAGATGAATTCAAGATATTACCCTTAGACACCTAAAAAATTAAAATTTGCCGAAATTAATCTCAAAATTAAAAAAAAAACTCCTTCAAAATTTAAAAATCGTAAAAAAACTCTAAATTTTCAAAATTTTTAACTAGCACATATCAAATTCGTCGATTGGTACACCGCTAAAATTTAATATTTTTCAAAATTAATCTATAGTTTTAATAATGGTAAAAGACACCCTCAAAATTTTTGAGTTACAAGAAATATACTAACATTTAAAAAATTACCACCAACACATGAAACATAGAATTTACAACTACCAAACTTAAAAGTAAATTTTTTTAAAAAATCTTTCAAAATTTTAAAAATTACAAATCACACCCTCAAAGTTCAAAACCACAAAAATGGGCTAAAATTTTAAAACTTGACAAAGAAAAGTGTAATTGTTTGGTATTTTTCATACATATATATATATATATATATATTAAAATTTCTAATTTAGGGATTTACTATCCATTTTCAGCATCTAAGAATAGTCTAAGTTGATACTGGTATACAAAAACAATATGAATTGATTAAAAACATCTGGTTAATGGATAAAATTTTTAAAAATATTATAGATTAAAAATTATCGGCACTATATAAATTAAAGTAATTTCATATAATTTTAGTAATAAGTTGGGGTAGCCAAAATACATTCGTAACATTAATTGATAGATGTTTAAATCCATAGAAATGATAAAACACTATAATATTATACCTTAGCATTAATTGATTTTAATTTAGAAACTTTAATCTTTGACGTTAATAATATTTATAGGGTAAAAGAATACAAGGAATTACATATGGAGAAACTATTAGAATATTTAGAGATAACTTTAAAAGAATTGAGTTATTTCCATTGCAAATGGGAAAGTGATGGAAATAAATCTAAAATTCAGAAAACGTCAATGAATCACTTGAATTGGCATTAACATAAGACATATCTATTAATGAAGCACTGAATGAGTTACATTAAAAAATAATTTAATAACTTTATCCTAATCAAAGAAAAAATCTTCATGGAAGACATAAGAAAAATTAGTAAGTATTCATAAATTCCATACTGTGTTCTTCAAATTAAATATTAATATTATAATCTAAGAGAAATTGGTAATGAATAATGCAGGTATTTATTTTAGATCTTTATGGAAAATGACAGGGATAGAGCAAAGATTATATTATTGAAATAACAGAAATTCTTATTGGATACACATCAGAAGAATTCATTTTAGAAGAAAATAAAGAGATAGCTTCTAATTTATTTAAGTAATAAATTAGGAACACAAAGAATTTTATATATATGAAATTAATATTTATTCTCATTGAAATAGAAAAAAAATCAAAGTCTATATTTTGAGCAGTTTGTGTTGAACATCATAAGTACATTTGACTTCTTTGTAAAGTTAAATGAGATGATAAAAAATTAACGAGCCTAGGAAAGATAATAGCATAAAAAATACAAAATTAGCCTGATGTCACAATTGATGTAGATGATGAAGACAATACTCTAGAATTGTCCGAGAAATGATAAATGATAAACCTGAAGAAGGATTGATCTTAACTCAATAAAAAATAAAATAGAAGAAATAAAAACAATATTTTATGAATATTTTATAGAATAGTTTAATTATTTTGAGTGAAATTAGGAATCTTTAGAAGGGAGTTTCATGAATTTTTTTCAGTACTTTTATATTCTTATGTGGATGTTTTTATCATATAAAAGTATACTAGAGTTAGTATTAATCTTTAATTTATATTTTTTTATGAAGCCTATTAATGATTAGGAATAAACTTCATATTCTCTTTTGCATCGTTTTAACATACTTTAAATCAATCATTTTGCCATATTGGTTTTAAATATTCACCTTCCTTGTATAACACTATTTTAATATTTTTCACTTTGCAATGCTATACTTTCTCAAATAAAGCTTAGTTTTATATCAGTCAAAAATAATATGAAAATTTAAATTATTTTTAAATTATATTTATTTTTTGTTAATTCAAATATCAACATGAAAATTTAAATTGGGTGTATCCCATTTAAACAAACATAAAAAAATAATCGGAATGTAAGAGTTTAAAGAAAAAATGAGCACAAACTGCCAAAAATACTTAATCATGGTATTAAATCACGTGCATTGCACGTGTGTAAAAACTAGTATTAGTAAAAATTACTGCATATATTTTAATGCATACACTTCACTGTTTAGTACTACCTAAGAACAGCATGCTGAAGACTGTGTTTGTCCAGCTGGTTTATCGGCAAGGACCATCCCTGTTGGTTGCTGAGCTGGCTGAGCACGAGGCAGCCTTTTTGCTGCAAGCACAAATAGAAGAGGGAATTTCAGAACGTCAACATTAAAAAGATAATAACAAACAAAGATAATAACAAACAAGGAATTGTCTGGAAACTGCCTTCAGATACAGAGAATATAGATGACTTAAAACTTCTGAGATAATATAGGTAAATCACTGTAATGATATTAAGTGTTTTGTAGATATCATGTGACAAAAAATCATGAACTTTAAAAAAACTGTACACAGAACGAACTGAAAAAATTACTATGTCCTACTTCACTGAAAATTAAAAAAATCAACATGTTCCTTCTCATAGAAATAATATATTTCAACGGATCAATTAGATCTTCAATAAAAGTTATGAGATAGAGTAGTTGTTATCTTGGTAAAGTAACTGACATGACTGTGGTTCTGTTTGAGACAAAAGCCATGGCGATAACTGCGAGATATGCTAGTATTCTGCTTGCCTGACACTGAGCATTCATCATACTTGAGACGACTTTTGGAACATGATAAAAGTTTAAACCAACATAAAAAACACCCTCCTTAGTTTCCTAAACTGATCTTGTTTTTCACTATCTCATTTTAACATCAATGGCTAAAGATATGGTGGGACAACTTTACCCTCATTAACCATCCACAAAAGTCTGCACTGAAATATAAGAAAAGACTTGTTCTTTTTTCAGAACAGCAAACAGAAAGTTACAAGAACAAGTTGAACTTGATAAATTTTCCATTAAAAAAGTGTGACAAGCAAGAATGGCTGAACAGCTCCACTTTCCTAGACAATGAAGATCAACTGATGCTTATTCTGGAGGGTAAGGTTACTTTGACATTTTTTTTGGTCAGCAATCCTACTTCTACGCACAAAATGAAAATGGTGAACAGCTGAAGTTACCAACCCAAACAACCTAAGCCAATAAGCAGACAGCGGAAGCAACCAATCCAATAGGAAATCATTAACTGGGTTGCTAATTAATGAAATCGTTTACTCACTAAGCACAGTATTCTGTTTGCTTGCCTTAAACAAACCTCCAGCTTTTTTACCTTTGATATCACATTTTCAAGGTTTTATAGCAAATCCTCTCCTGTTTTATATAGCATTTGCACCAAAAAAATAAAAAAAAATTAAAAATAAAATAATAAAAAAATAAACAAAAGATCAGCAGACAGACATATAAAGCAAGGCAAGAATCAGATCTAATGAAATACTTTTAATAAGCCATGATCCATTCTCATGGAAAAGTCTGGAGGGGTTAGGCACAGACAGCAGTAACAGCTTGAATTTCCAAATTGTCGCCTTGAATATTACAGTGGTAACACCAAAGAAAATCAACAACCACCACATCTCCAAGCTAATGCATTTAAAATTTACCAAGTTTGGGACAAAATAAAATCTAAATCTGTACCTATTTCATAAAATATGTCATTCACGTTTATGGCTGTCTTGGCAGAGGTTTCCATGAAAAAAAGACCATTCTCCTCAGCATACTTGCGTGCTTCCTGTAGCATAGACATCAGAAGCATTGGACAAGCATCACAAGCCAATTAGCACAAAATAGTACATGAAATGTTCATCTAAGTTACATCCTAGTATGGCATAATAAATCTGAAGACAACCAAAGGTCCGAAACATTTCCCACGAGATGAAATCATGGAAAGTATGCAAGATTAATCAAAAGATTAAAACCTAGGTAACACGGACGCTTCGTTTTGGGTGCCGTGTCTGTGTCTGACACTTGTCCGACACCGACTCTCCACGAACTCTCCATGGACACTTGTGGTTCAAAGAAAAACCCAATTTCCCCATTACTTATACCCTAAAATAGTTTATCTAGTAATATAAGGTCCAAAACCAATTTTTTTAACCCGAAAACTGAAACCCATTACTTATATTTTTAAAAACCACCATCATATTATCCCATGTGGTCAAAACTAACTTCTTGTTCTTAAATCTTATTCTTGATTTGATTTAACTTGATTCTTAAATGTTATAGATAATAATAGAAAGAAACACACAAATGTTATTCGTATTTTCATTAGATATTTGATCATGTGTGTATGTGTTAACGCGTCCACTTATCCTACATTTTACTAATTTGCCGTGTCTCGTGTCCGTGTCTGTGCTGCCTAGATTAAAACCAACAGTTAGAACATGATCATGAGCATCACTTTGAACCTTAGGCAATTAAAACTATTACATAATTGTTGAAAAAGGCTTCTGAAATTTAGACCTTGACAGTGCATTTTTCCATTAGATGTTGCAGTTTTGTGCATAGCATGGACCATATATTTTAGGTGTATCAATCTTCTATAGTTAAAAACATTTTCAATGAAAGTTTGGGGGAAGATTATGACTTCCCCCAACCCTACACACTTAACACAGAAAATAAGAGCATCGTTACATATCATTTACTAGATAACAATACAATATGTAATGCCTATCATTATCTGACCCTCCGACAGAGAATAGGTTCAACACAGGGGGAAACATCATAAGCATGCAAGACACCTCATCTGATGTGCGTCATCAACCAACAGCTAATGAGAACAATGTTAAGTGTTAGCCCTATTAGTTAGTGGTGACAATATTATACCATGTAATACTCAACACCCATTAATACCCTTTTTCTTCTCACAACTCAGATAATTAATAAGTAACATTATTAATCGGAAGGTCTCATCAATGAATCTTTCCTATCCAGAGAAATATTTTATACACCACTGAGTAGTGTAATTTCATGTTAGACATAACAAGTCAATCTGCATTGTTTTATCATTTACTTGACAACTTAAGTAAGAAAAAAAATATATCATTATTAATAACTAAAAAGTAAAAAATCAAATCCTAAACTTTTTTTTTACTAGTTGAATATTCTGTCACAAATGATAAAGATAAGCATGGCTAAGCAAAGATAATTTTACTATCCAGAAAGAGGTATAAAATACTAGACACATCAGCTGCAATATTTCTTACCTAGAAAGATCCTTCATTACTAGTCTGTAGCAAATCCTCAAGGAATGTTCGCATTTAGCAGTTAAGACATCCTTCAAATTCAGTTTCTAGTTTACACAAAAATGTCATGATTACTGTACATGTCCAATTGTCCAGTATTCAGATTAAGAATTTGAAAAGTGTATATGGTATGATGACTGTCTTTAAATGTATGGAAAAAAAAACTGCAGCATGGTAACATGGAACTATTGTTGAACTTTTGTTGTCCAGGCCCTACTAGAGCATACTAAACAGTGTCAACTAGATACATGAGCCCCTAACAAAACCTGGATTAGGTTATCCAAGCAACTACCCACAAGTATAAGGTAACAGTTTTGGATAAGAGGAAATTAAACTGTCAGAAACATAAAAAGGGAGCATACTGATAATACTTGCCTCAGTTTCCACCTTCCTTTTCTCTTCCAAATCAGCTTTATTTCCAGCAAGAGCAGTCACCATGTTTGGATTACCTAAACCAACACATTACTTTGAAACTCATTATCACAGGGGAAAATCAAATATGAAAAATCTCCTGCTTCAAATTCATAATTCAAAGGAGTTCCCAAAATACATTCATCTGCAATTCACTATCTACGCGATGTCCAATAGATTACTTATTTTAATACTCTCAAATTTTAATTATCTCACTCAGTATTTCTTGCACCCTTATTAATAACTGTTGCTGTTAATTACTCGGCTTACTTGCCATTATCTAAAATCACCTTTATACAGTATTTACTGGCCAGTATTTTAAAAATTTACACTAGTTAGCATAATCCATAACAAGTTCAAATTATGAAACTATATTGATCACAATGGTTAAACATAAAATCATTGCACAAACCTTGCTTTTGAAGCTCTTGCACCCACTTCTTAGCTTTCTCAAATGATTCCTACAATCCAAATGCACCATGTATTATTAAGAAAAAGCCCAAATTTTAGCACCCACCAATTTCAACATCCAAAGGGCACTAATCTCACCGTGCTTGTAATATCATACACAATAACAGCAGCTGCTGCTCCTCTATAATACATAGGAGCCAAGCTATGGTACCTCTCTTGACCCGCAGTATCCCAAATCTCAAACTTCACCGTCGCGTCATTGACCGCCAACGTCTGCGAGAAGAACGCAGCTCCAATCGTCGATTCCTGCCACCAAAACCCTAAATTTTCAAAACCCTAACCCTAATCCCCAAAAAGAACCCTAACCGAGCATCAAAATTTTAACTTTTTTTCACCTGGAACTCGAGGAACTGGCCCTTAACGAATCGGAGCACGAGGCTGGACTTCCCCGCTCCCATGTCGCCTAGCAAAACCTAGGGTTACAGAGATCGAGGGTAAAAATCTGAGATCGAAATTGGGGGTTTTGGGGAATTGAGAGGGTTGACTTACGAGCTTGGCATTGAGATTGTTGTTGCCGATCGTCGCCATTGGAGGGATCGCTGGCTCGATCGAGAAACTAGGGTTTTAGAATTTGGAATCCTGTGAATTAATTTTGAAGAAAGAGAGACAAAATGGAAAAAGAAAGAGGGGATCGCTTCGAAGTCTTGAGCTGTTGACATTGGATTTTTATTTGCAAGAAAAAGACGATTATGCCCTTCAATTTGTACCGTATGTAGGTTGCGTGCCTTCATCGTATTTTATATATTCGGAGTTTCTGCTGCCTCTATGTATATATTCTTATTAGTTTTTTCCCTTTTTTTTTTCCTAAAAACCATCTTAAAAAATAGGTTAATTATATGAAAATCATCTTTTATTTTAAATTTATGCATAAATCATTTTTCAAAGTTAGTTTTTGTTGCAATCAATCACATCCAAGTCAAATTTTACCTAAAATACATAAAATAAGTTTGAAAATCTTAAGTTTAAGGTACGTGAATCGTATCTTAACATGGCACAAACACTAAAAGAATCGGCCACACGCATTGAACGTGAGTTTTTAATGGTAACCTTAGGTTTTTAGTAAAAAGTTTGACTAGGAGGTGACTGATTCTAACAGAAACCAACTTTTAAATGTGATTTATATATATAAATTGAAAATCAAATGTGGTTTTCATATAATTGGTATGTGATTTATATATCAATTATACACATGTGTATACCGTTATCGAAAGTCGAAACTGGTATGTTTCTCCACACTATTGACTACTATTTCACGAATCTAAAACTATCATTAACTACCCACACCAACATATATATTAGAAACATATTTTTTATAACATAACTTGGAGTCGAACACATGCCTGCGAGAGCTCAGAGCCATACTGAAACTTCTCAACTATCTAGGTCACCCACAATGGGTAACATATTGAGTTCATTACACACGTCACATAAGCTGTGTGCCGTGTCAGTAACCTAAACTTGGGGTATTTTGTTAAAACTCCAAAAGTTAATGGGGGAGCCAAATGACATATTTAAAAGTTATGGGGTTACTTCGTAGCTGGCCCAAAAGTTTGAGGGTTTTTGTGAAAGTGAAGGCGGGAAGTCTCATCTTCAAGAGCGCGCGATCTCCCCACCGTCAAATCCACGGAAAGAGTAAAACTGCCGGCGATGCGCCGGCGAACTTCGAGGATCGTCGGTGGCGGCGGCGGAGATGGAAGAAGAGGTCATCTACACGATCGACGTGGCAAAGAAAATGAAACACGAAGAGCTGATCCCAATCGAATCGAGGAATCGAGGAGGCGCTCGAGATCGCGTCAAGGAGAAGGCGGATCGGCACTGCAAGCGAATTTGGTAAGCTAGGGTTAGGGTTTCTTGATTTATCGTTGTCTGGATCTCGATTGATTAATTAGGGCTGTTGAAAACTGTTTGATGTGTTAGCCTTTATGCACTTAGATTAGTTATTTTCAGTCAATTTGATCAATGCTAATTATATTTTTGTTGTACTGTTTTTGTCAATCTTACATTCATTGCGGAAAATGAAGCGCGAAGAGCTAGGGTTTGGGTTCTTGATTTGTTGTCCTTTTTGAATGAATTGATGTCCTAATTTGATTGATTAGTTAGGGATTGAAACTATTTGATTCTTGACATTTATGAACTGAAATTTCCGTGAACAGGTGACATTTATGAACTATTACATAGTTTTCATATATTTAACACTCATTACTGTTGGATAATTTTTTTTTATATAGCCGCCCACGTTTTGACAGCCACCCTCTTCTTTAGCCTCCTTCCTTGACAATTTTGAAGAAAAACAAATTTTGGTGGGTCCCACAAGTTTGAAATTAAATAAAGTGGTGGGTCCCACCGAAGAATTTTTAGGACGTGGGCCCCACATGCATAGTAAAATATATTATTTTATTAGTGCATAGTATTTTTTCAAACGCTATAAATAGACCTCAAATCCTTAAGGAAAATTCATTCCAAAAACAACAATCAATATATACAGATATATATTATAGAATAGCTGGTGCTAATAGGAACAGTGCCCAGACCGAGAAGGTCTTATAGATCGAGGAGATCTTTGCCTGAGGAGATCGAGGAGATCTTTGCCTGATAGATCGAGGAGATTTTTGCCTGATAGATCGAGGAGATCTTTGCCTTACAGATCGAGGAGATCTTGACAGTACTGGGTTGGTGCACACCAGAGTACTGGACTGCTGTTCCTGGAAGCAATTTGGCCTTGGGATCCTTGCACCGGAGTAGGCCAAATAATGCTTTAAGCACAGCGTTTTACAAACGCACAGCAGTTGAGTTGAAAAATTTAAATTATTGCACTTCAGCGTTCTTTCAGTTATTAGCTGCTATATATCTGTATTATTCCAGTTTTAAACACAGGCGCCAACAATCTTAAAGCATTATTTCGATCTACCATGGATCCTGCGAGGACTCTTGGAGTGGACTGTCTTAAGTTAGAAAATTTTGACGGATCCAACTTCAACGCATGGCGTCGGAAAGTGATCTTCGGGATGCAACTCCGACTCTGAAGAAGACTCTGAAGCTGAAGCCTCTTGGGCTAGAGATGATCACTTCTGCAGGAGTTATCTTCTTAACTGCCTGACTGATCATCTGGCAGATGCTTACACCAACAAGCCCTCTGCAAAGGAAATATGGAATGCTCTGGAGGACCAGTACAAGGATGAAGAGAAGCTGTCCAAATCTCACCTCATTGACAAATTTCTGGACTTGAAGTTCGAAGATGATACTGAGGTTTTGCCTCAAGTCAAAGAGCTTGAAAAACTTATTATGAAGCTGAAGCATGAAAAGATCAGTCTTTGTCAAACCTTTATTTCTGGTGCAATTGTCAACAAGCTTCCTCCATCTTGGATGTTATTCTCCACTGATATTCGAAGAAGGAAAAGACAGGTGACTCTGTCTGATTTGAAGAGGTTCATTCGGATCGAGGACGAGACTCGGACTCGCACGAAGATCGAGCTCATTGCTAAGCAGAAGGCGTCTGCTAACATGGTGGCTGCTAACTCTGAAAAGGGTAATAATTCATCTTTCAAGAAAAAGAAGTCTTTCAACAGAAAGAAGAACCAGAACCCGAAGAACCTGAACGTTCAGAAGAAGGAGTTCAAGAGGAGCGGCAAATGCTTCAACTGTGGGAAGCAAGGACATTTTGCCAAAGACTGCAAAGCACCAAAGAAGGAAACAACACACAATGTCAATCAAGTTGATGATTGTGTGGCTATGCTCTTCCAGGTAACAACTCCAAGCAACATCTCTAGTTGGTGGTTAGATACGGGTGCTACTTGTCATGTATGCTCCAATAGAGATATGTTCTCTTCTTATGTTGCTACTAAAGAGATCGTATCAATGGCTGATCGTTCTGTGGTTCCTGTTCTTGGAACTGGGACTGTGGTGCTGACTCTTTCTTCGGGAAAGACTCTCACATTGAAGGATGTGAAACACGTTCCCTCAATTGTTAAAAACTTAGTCTCTGGAAGCATGCTGTGTGATGCAGGCATGAGGTTGGATTTCCAAGGAGGAAAGGCTGTATTATCCTTCAAGAAAATGTATTTTGGCAATACATATCGTACTGATGGCATGTATAAAATCAGTACGAGTGCACCCAATCATATTGTAAATGAAGTATCCTCTTCTGCTTACTCCTCTGTGTTATGACATAATAGGCTGGGACATGTAAATTATAGAAAACTGTCCAGCATGGAGAAGTTAGGATTACTTCCAAAATGTGGGGGTAACAACTCTGAGAAGTGTGAAGTTTGCGCGCAAGCAAAGCTGACAAGGAAGCCATTTTCAAGTGTTACGAGGAGCACCAACCTATTGGATCTGATTCATTCGGATACTTGTGACTTCAAAAGCTTCGTCACTCGTGGCGGCAAGAAGTACTTCATCACCTTTATCGACGACCATTCTCGCTTCTGCCATGTTTACCTACTGAAATCTAAAGATGAAGCCTTCAGCAAATTTGTCGAGTTTCGGACTCGAGTGGAGAAGCAGCTTGGACTGCAGGTGAAAAGACTCAGGAGCGACAGAGGAGGAGAATACCGATCCAAGGAATCGGAAGCATACTTCAAGGAGCATGGAATCATTGCAGAAACTACTGCTCCGTATTCTCCGCAATCTAACGGGATTGCAGAAAGGAAGAATCGCACATTGACCGAGATGGTGAATTCGATGTTGATCACATCTGGTCTACCTACCTGCTATTAGGGAGAGGCTTTGTTGATGGCTAACTGGATTTTGAACAGAGTACCCTACTCCAAAACTGATAATACTTCTCATCAGTTATGGTTGGGATATCCAGATTCTTTGGATAATCTCAAAGTGTGGGGGTGTCTCGCATACGTTCGAATATCAGATATCAGAAGGCCTAAGCTCGGACCAAAGGCGAACAAATGTGTATTTCTTGGCTTTGCTGGAGATAGCAATGCGTGCAGGTTCCTGGACCTTGGAACCAACTCCATCATTGAAGCTCGGGATGCAGAATTCTTTGAGGATAAGTTTATCAAACATAAAGGCTTATTGCTCAAAGATGTAGCAGAGAATGCTAGTACATCAGATGCACAAGAGGAGACAGTCTATAATGAAGGAGTTATCGAACCATCTTCCAAGCGCGTCAGAAGACAGAAAGATTTTGGAGATGACTTCATCACCTATAATGTGGAAGGAGATCCACAGACTTTTCAAGAAGCAATGCAGTCAACAGACGTTCTTCTGTGGAAAGAAGCTATAGATGATGAGATGGATTCATTGATCCAAAATCACACTTGGGAGCTGGTGGATGTACCTGAAGGTGCAAGGCCTATCAGTTGCAAGTGGATCTTCAAGAAGAAGCTCCGTCCTGATGGTACTATTGAAAAGTACAAAGCAAGACTGGTGGCTAAAGGATTCTCTCAGAAAGAAGGTATAGACTTCTTTGATATTTATGCACCAGTTTGCAGGATTACTACCATCAGAGTGCTTATCGCATGGGCGGCGATTAAAAGGTTCGTCATACATCAGATGGATGTGAAGACTGCCTTTCTCAATGGAGATCTCACAGAAGAGATCTACATGGAGAAACCAGAAGGACTTGATGCTCCAGCTGGTAAGGTTTGTAAACTTGTTAAGTCATTATATGGACTTAAGCAGGCACCAAAACTCTGGC